GTTTCTGCCAGGCCTCTGTGTGCCTGGAAAGTACCATAAGAAACAGTTCTTCCTGAGCACTCGCCGCGCCATCCCAGCGAAATGGAACCGCTGCTTTTAACTTTTAGCTTTCTGCCTAGGAAGCAAATCAGTGTCTTTTAACCCTTTTTAAGTGTGTTTTTGTTTGTTTTTTAGTTTTTGTTTTGTTTCGGTTTCATTTTTAGAAATAGGGTCTCATTGTGTAGCTCTGGCTGGCCTGGCATTTGCTATGTAGACCAGGCTGGCTTTAAATTTACAGAGATCCATTTGCCTCTTCCTCTATAGTGCTGGGATTAAAGGCATGGGCCACAACAGCCTAGATTTATTTTTCAAGCATGTATGTATTCATATATGAAATACACACACACACACACACACACACACACACGCGCGCGCGCGCGTGTGTGTGTGTGTGTGTGTGTGTGTGTGTGTGTGTGTGTGTGTGTGTAAGCCAGAGGATAACTTGTGGGAGTCAGCTCTTTTCACTATGTGGGACCTGGGTTTGAACTCTGGTCATCAGCTTTAGCTGCAAGCACCCTTATCTACTGTACCATCTTGCCAGCCCTCTAGACAGAACTTAGGGAAAGATTCTGAAATGCAGGCAAAGTACTATTCAAGGGGCATGCTCTTTGCACTACTGTTTACATAAAGGGTTGGCTATGATATGAAGTCCAATGGTTAGGGAGGATGGGAGATGGGTTTGGGCAGCCCAGAGCAAGTATAGAAACAGAGACAGGATATGGCAGGATTTTAGGGCCTGCTTGGATGCAGGATCCTGCAGAAGCAAGGAGTGTGTGGGCCTTGGGAGAGCCCAGGGGTACCGGTGAGTTTGTACCCTGCGGGGCACAGGCATTGCTGTGGATGGGAAGCTGCTGACAAGACACTGCACACAGATAGGAAGACATCCTGCTGAATGTTTAAGGGACCTGAGCTGAGTTACCAGAGGGTGGGACATGGCTCAGAATGGTTTGGGTTCATGAGTCAGCTCTAACACTGTTACGAAGACTGTGGATGTTAGCTGATCTTGTGGTCTTCCTTCTCTGTTACGACAGGGCCACAGTGCTCCTTATCTCATGGCATGTGTGCAATCACCTAATGAGGTTATGTCCAAGGAGCCTTGTGTGTCCCAGACAATAAACGTTAGTCTCTATCATTAGTTCACATATGTGTTCCTCTCCTTGGAGCATCCCTCCTCCTCTTGCTTTCTGTGTGCAAATTCAGTTATCTCCCACAGGTTCATCATCAGCTGACCCTCCTGGATCAGGAGGCCTTTGCCTTGTCTGGAGCAGGGGGCTTGGGGTGGGCAGTTAGAACCAGATGACTGGCTGGTTTCTGCAGAGCCCACGGAAGAGAAGCTCTTTTAAAGCCGGATCCTTGCCGGACACTGTGGAGGGACCTGAGGGACACAGTCCCTAGTGGCTTGCCTTCTCAGCAGCTGTTCCAGCTCCGTCGCATGGTCTGGATTCTCCTCCTTGCAGCTTGGACCAGAGACCCTGAAGTTGACACCATGGAGCCGCCAGCCTGCGAGGGCTCCCCAGGTACTTACATTCCTCTGGCTTCTTCTGGTTTGCGGCCTAGACCTCCATTACTGAGTGCAGAGAAGTTGAGAACAGAGAAGGGGAAGACCCAAGGGGGACTACAGGACTCGTCTAACATCAGGTCCCTTCCTGAGGAGTACAACAGCCAGGACTCACCTCCTCCCTATCCTGCCTCCTCAGATGGGACCAGGACAGCCTGGGAAGCTGACTCTGCGGTTCCTGTCACTCAAGCTCTTCCATTCTGTCCTCTAACCTCATTCTCCTTCCCACCTAGGGAGCAGAAACTTCGTCGAGGAAGCCGCTGAGTACCTCCAGCACACGCCGCCGGGTAGGGAAGATCTGCAGCTGCTGCTGACAGAAGATGGAGCCTGGGAGAACTTTGTGGCTGAGGCCGAGTTGTCCAGGTCACCTGCTGTTAGGCACTTCTCCCCTTTCTGGTTTCTCTTTCCCCTGCTCATGGATGTGCAGCCTCCATCTACCATGCACCTTCCCCACCCAGCGCCCTGGTCCACATGCTAATTCTCTCCCCAAAGCATCTTCATGGATACACCCGGAATTGTGCTTTGTGAATGTTCCAGTGTCTCTCGGTGAACTGGAGAGCCGCCAAAGGGCTGGACCACACACTACCTTTAAGGCTGACCCGGGGCTTTTCACTCTCCTGGAGGTCAATGCCTTTAGTCTCCGATTCCCTAGAGGTCAGAAATGACACCAAAGCCCCCATCATATACTGCATGGTTAAGACTGAGCACCCTATACAGGATGTTCCTGGGAACAGAAGTGGTTAGGATCCTGAATTTTCCTAATTTTAAAATATTTTCAACTATGATGCATCGTGGGAATGAGATCCAAGTCTCAACATGAAACACACTTTGATATTTTTACACTTAGAAAACATCTTAACTTTCTAAGCTCTTTTTAGCACTCTGGTGTTTGAGTGTGACCTGTCCCCTGAGGTCAACTGAGGAGCTTTCCACTGTGGCATCGTTTTGAAGCCTTTCACGCTTAGAATATTCAGTCAGGGTTGCTCAGTTTGAATGAGCTTCCTGCCAAAGTCCCAGCCAACGGCAGACAGTCCTGGCAGGCAGGACATGACCAGGCCTACTGGTTGTTCTTAGCAGCTGAGGGCAAAGGAAACACTTCACAACACACTAGCAAACATTCCATGAATTAGGGTGACTTAGGCTCCAATCTTGCCTCCCCGTGTTCATCAGCAGAGTCCCCTCCCCCAACTCTGCCCCCACCCCCGGCAAATGTACAGATGGCCACAGTGTTACCCTTGAGTAGGAAGGCATCTTCATCAAACTCCTGACACTAAGAGCATCTTTTTTTTTTTTTTTTTTTGACAAGGTCTGATGTAGCCCACATTGGCCTCGAACTCAGACATAACTAAAGATGACCTTGAACTTCTGATCTTCCTGCCTCTACCTCTCACGTGCTGGAATTACCAGCTTGTGACACCATGCTGTAGACGAATTTCTAAATGCTCTTATTAAATTAAAAACATGGAGCCAAATATAGGGGCGAAAGCCTTAGAGATCAGGGAAATAGGGATAGCCACCAGCCAACCTTACCTCACTCGCTCTGCAGCTTCCAAATGCGAGCCACTTCCTGTCTTACCCATGCCTTTATTGCTTGCTATTTTAGCCCAGCTACCTCACTTCCTTGTCACTGCCTGTCTATACAGACCTCCAGGTCTCTATGGTTGGTACTGGGATTATAGGCGTGTGTCACTACGCTTGACTCTGTTCCCTGATATGACCTTGGACACACAGAGACCCTGTCTGCTAAGCGATTGGATTAAGGGCATGTGCTCCCACCATGTTTAATCTATGTTTACTTAAAATGGCTGGCCTTTTCCCCCTGACCTCCAGGCAAACTTTATTAAAGCACAAATAAGATTTCACCACATTTCAGCACATATAAAACATCACCACACCATGCCTGGTTTTATACAGTGCTAGACCCCAGGCCTCATGCATGCTTGGCAAGCACTTTAACTACTGCAAAACCCTCAGCCTCTAAAGAACAGCTTTTTAAAGGTTTTT